GAATCGAACCCGGTACCTCTGTATTGTGAGGTTGACGCGCTAACCACTCAACCAACAGGCCGCCCTCTCTTGAATAATACATTAAATACAAAAGAGACCATCCATCGATTTTCTATCCCACTTGTCCTCATTTGGTTGTCGGGATACACCCTGGAGTGGTTGTCAGCCAATCGCAGGGAAAATAAAGACATACAACAATTCTAAGTCACATTCACGTAGACAATTTAGAACCTTGATTGAACCTAATGTGCATTTTTTTCGGGATGTGGGAGGAAAAAAATTCCATGAAGAATGGGGAGATCATGCAAACTCCATGACATTCAAACCCCAAACTGTAGCGCAGACATGCGAACCACTTTGACAATGTATCCTTCCGGTTTCCTAGGCCAATTCATGTAGGTGGCCTTTGGAATATTTGTCATCTCACCAGGTAGTGAATGTACATCCTCCAAAGTAAGGGACAGTGGACGCCCATCTCGGATCCGACGGCGCTTTCGAACAGTCCACGGATACGGTTGCTGAGACCGTTCTCTGGCAGGACACTCAAGGCCGCGCTTTTGTCGCAGGATCTACGGTTGCCATAAATATTTGACACACAATGGGCAAAGAATGCATTGTTTCAAAAATTGTCATCATCAGCTGAGGAAAATTCAGCCCTTTTCCAGAATACGTTGGAAAGTGAAAGTAACACCGTGCGTGCTTCCGTTGATTTTTTTCCCCACTCCTACCTCTGTGCTGCGTCCACCAGTTGCTTCCTTTGTTGTTCAGCAACAATAGCAAAGAGCCGTGGCACAACACTATCGTTGTCCCTTGTTACGGAGTGAAAAAAGCAACGTGCTCGGCCAGCACTATGGTAACGGTTCTCCACCTGAAACAGGTCCCATGTGAAAGGAGAAAAAGCATGTGGGTGGAGCAATGTTTAGAATTTACCAAGTGAAATTAGCACAGTCTTACCTGTACATAGATGCTCCAGAGGGGGCCACTGCTTGGCCATCTCGAAATGGCAGAGGTGAGTGTGTCTCTCAGTGTCGCCAGTGGAAATGCACTGACGCTCATGTGGTACTTGAGCAATGACGCCTGCTGCACCGCCACCGTCTCACACTCGTAAGCGAACCTGCTAACTAACAGGTTGCTGCCAGAGTGGTCGGCATCAGCGCGAGAGTTCTGGTCAGACGTTATTGTGCGGTGGAGTTCGTCCATCCGCTCTCTGGCCTGGCTGTAGACTGCGCTTGCCGCCTTGATCCCCATGGTGAGGTACTGGAACA